AGCATAAGATAACTAAAAAAAATTAGTATTACAAAGGAACAAGGCTTGTAAAGGCCTGGGTAAAAACATTTTAACTTGCTTCTGAAGGCTCAGGAGGGTGGGCGTCAATCACATCTTCACAGGAAGAGAGTTCCAGAGTGGGGCAAGCCTGTACAGAGAAGGCCCAGTTTCTGGTTGACAACTTCCAAGCATCTTTTGGAGTGGTCACCTGCAGCATCAAACACTGAGAGGTGTGGGTGGGATGAGAGGATGGCTGGTCCATTTTAACCTAAGAATCAATCATTTGGTCCATCCTATTAGCTAGCATACCAGTAAATATTTTGCAGTCCTTGATTGATTGATTGATTGATTGATTGACTGATTGACTGATTGACTGATTGATTGATTGATTGATTGATTGATTGATTGATTGACTGATTGACTGACTGACTGACTGATTGATTGATTGATTGATTGATTGATTGATTGATTGATTTGATTTATATCCCACCCATCTGGTCTGGTCGACCACTCTGGGCGGCTTCCAATAACATTAGAATTTTACAAACAGTCCATAACACATACAATAATAAAACCAATAATAAATGAAAGAAAAAATAAATAAAGAATTAAATATTGACAGGAGGGAAGGCCTGAACATACAACCATGTTTTTAGTTGACTCTTAAAAGTGCCCAGCGTCCTGATTTATTAAAGTAATTGGACAATATGAGTCAACTTCTTCTAAATTTTTATCTGGCTTTGGTATAGGAATTATGTGAGATCTGTTCCATGATGGGGGCAGTGAAGAACTTAAAGATCCTAAAGGATGTTTTATTTTTACAAAAGGCACCATAGAAGGAGAAATAAACATCACTGTTGGATCCATCTACAGCCCAGATACCAACTAATCAACCTTCCTAAAAGAAACATTAATTGTATTGGAACCCTTTAGAAAGGGGGAGGTAATTATAGGGGAAGACTTAAGCAGTCCTGTGGGAAAAAAAATGGAACAGCGGTTACAGAACCCCAGATATTTACAACCAATTATTTTATCCTTTAATTTAAATGCTGTTTGGAGAATTACTTATCCTCAAGAAGAAGATTACATATTTTACTCACATAAACATGTTGTTGTTTAGTCCTTAAGTCATGTCCGACTCTTCGTGATCCCATGGACCAGAGCACGCCAGGCCCTCCTGTCTTCCACTGCCTCCCGGAGTTTAGTCAAATTCATGTTGGTAGCTTTGATGACACTGTCCAACCATCTTGTCCTCTGCTGTCCCTTTCTCCTCTTGCCTTCACACTTTCCCAACATTAAGGTCTTTTCCAGGGAGTCTGAAAAACATAATTCCTACTAAAGAATAAACCTGGTTTGAATTTCTGAATACAACGGCAACACCCTCTCTCAGGCCCTTCAATCTGCCCTGACGTTGTATTGAATAACCTGGGAGTGGTGGTAGCTCTGAGAGAAACCTACCCCTCATTCAGCGGCCACCCAGGTCTCTGTTATGCACACCAGGTCAGCCCTTTCATCCACAGTCAGATCAGCGATCAGTTGGGACTTATTTTGAACTGACCTGGCATTCAACAATAAGAGGGACAGAGCAGAAGAGAATGATCTGAGGAGGGAATGTTGGAACCTGGGATTAGAACCAAATACCAAGCCTTGGATCTCTTGAAACCTTAGTGTTCAGGCAACTATGCCAAAGAAAAAGTCTGAGAAGCTGTGGCTATGTTTGCACTAGAAAGGTGAGTCCAAGAGCTGAACTACTCTGGGTGGGTGGGAAATGGCAGCTGTGTTCAGCAGCAGTCCCCAAACTCTCTATGTTGACAAACCTATCAGGGTTAATCAAGTCCAGAGAACACCCTCCAAGCAACAGTCTGTTGAATCCAGGTGTCCCCACATTCATAGCTCCAATTGTCCTCATATCCAACTTCCAGTCATTCTCAACCAGCTGAAATACTACCATCCAGAGCAACCCCAGCTTCCAACATGATCTCACCAGTTCACCTAAGGAGGATGTGGTTTCAACATAGCTCCTTCTTCATCCACTCTGTCTGGAATGTTGTGCGGAAGAAAAGTAAAGATCTAGCATTTGTGCAGCTTTGAAGTTTCTGCACTCCACAATTTTTTTTAAAAAATATCCCATCTGTTCTAGAATTGCCATTGGCAGGGAAACATGGTAAGAAGAAGAAGGCTTTTAAGTGTGTGAAGATATTGCTACTCCTTATTGTTGAACAATGTAGTAACTATATCAATGACTTTTTATAGTGATCATCTTTTTAATCTAACTAGAGCTCAAATTGAATAAAAGAGCCTCACTTTAATAGATATCATTGTTTAAAAAATGTAGCACTTGAGCTTCAGCAAATACCACTCATAACTGCTTTCCTTTGAAGCTTTTTTTTGGGATGACTTGGAATAAAGGTTGTTAACAAGCTTGACCATAAGGAAAGGAGTGCAAATTGGCTATTTAACAAAATGAGAGGAGGTATTTCTAAAAAGCCTTCTGTTCATTAAGATAAATACTGGAAACATTTCACACGGGGTGTAAGTGTAGCACTCTGAAAGAGAGGATTAAGCCTCTGCTTTGCACGGTACTTGGCTGAGGAGGTAGAGGAGAGTGAGAGAGAGAATGGAAAAAGGAGTCACATGGCTTATTAGAGATGGTAAATATGAAATGTTTATTTTTATCATAAACAGGAAATTAGAACAGATCTTGTTTTCATAGCATATTTGACCCACTTTTTATTTATCTGTGATAGAGAGAAGGCTTACAGTCAATTTCTGCAAATAAATTTTTGCTTCTCCTACCCACACTGTCACGCTTCTTGATAGTATTGTTTTTTACCTGAAGTAGATTGGGCAGGAACACTGGGATTAGGTGGGACCAGGTGAGGGAGATCATCCTATGCTCAGGGGTTTCTTAACTTACAATTTTAAAACCTCAAGAAAGCCAGGTTTTCTGGCTGAAGCTCTGTACTGATTTGTTTACTTGGATTTGGTAATGGATTAGTTGAAGGCCAATAAAGTAAAACTGAATCCTGACACGATGGACACACTGTTAATAGATGGTTTCTGGTTCCCAAACAGTAGGATTCAACCTGATGTAGATAAGGTCACCCTTCTTCTAAAAGAAGAAGTGTGTGGCCTGGGAAAATTCTTTGATTTATCAGTGGTACCTGGTGGCCTTGGTGACATGGAGTGCTATTTAGCTTCACCAATTTTGCCATGAATCCATAGTCTGGCCATGATTATCTATCCTCTGGTATCACCTGGCCTAGATTACTGTAACAAAGGACTGTTCTTTAAAAGGGCTCGGAGGCTCCAATTAGAACATGTGCATCAAAATCCTAACTGGTACAGCCAGGCTACATTCTTTTTTTCTTGTTACAATTATGGTTTTACTGTATATTCTAATGTTTATGGTGTTAATCATTTCTTACTTGTACTTATTGTTCACCATGATGGAATTCAGTGGATAAATTGTGGTACAATCAATCAATCAATCAATCAATCAATCAATCAATCAATCAATCAATCAATCATCTCCCTGTAAAGGTTGTCACTTACTGAACAATGTTCTAAAAAAGAATAGAGAAAGAATTAAAAGCCTCTATAGACGCTCTCAACCATTGCTTCCCACATCTGTGGATCACCCTCCCCCCTTCACTATCTGGATTGGCTCCACTTAAGAAAGTACTGCAGCAAATGTATCAATTATCAGATGTGCTTTATTTCTAGCAGCTTGGCACTTGTTCTTTTTTCTCCCATTTTTAGAATTTATACATAGAAGATATAGCAATATGTTTTAGAAAGAGTTTGTTGTTGTACACTAGAGTTACATTAGGTCTTTTCTAAATTATTTGTAAATTATCTACTTTATTTCAACAAAATAACTGTGAACAAACTACGTTCTAAACATAATTCCTTTTGAGAGTAAGGGCCTGATTACACCTGTCAAAAGAATTCTGGTTCTATCGATTCTTTCCATACCTCTCTTGTACTGATACATTTATTTTCATAGTAACATAGTATATATACTTGTGGGAACATTCCCATTCGTTTTGATGTTACCAGTTCATTTCTTCCTATTTGAAACGTTATTGCCATCTATACATGGAATCAATTTATCTTCTCTCATGTTTTCTGGGGCAGTGATGCCCCTTCCTTTTATTTTATTATCTTTTAAAATCTGTAACTGATACATCAATATGTCAGAAAGGGATTCCTTTTTTGGGAATGTATGATCTGTAGTGCCTGCAACTCTGGAAGTAAGGCGTTGCCCACCATAGTCCCAGCCCTCACCTGCATGGCTATGCTACTTGGCAGACAGTAGGCTGAGGCATCAAGTAGTAAACAAGACAAATGGCATATGAAAGTCAGTCCACGCAACGATTGTCCCTGTGAAATAGAGGACCTTGGTATATCAACGTATCAATATACCAGCCATGGAATGTATTTAAAAAAATTAATTGCAGGGCAGCCAAACGGCAACAATGATGGCCACCTTCCCCAGGCTCCTAGCATGGGAAAATAATCAATAGGAACATGCATACATGCTATACTGGTAAGGAATGAATTGATATAGCATCAGTACAAAATAAAACAACCCTCTTGGCAAGGGGGAAATTAACTGGAAATAAACCACTGGCTGGGAAAATGAGTCGATCATGGCCATGTGTTGTATGACCAGAAATTTATGAAACAATATAAAGAATGGCCAAAGAGGTATAACCGGAATTCTGTGGGCAGGTATAATCAGGCCCTAAGAAGCTGTGATAATGCTGTGTCTGATACATTCCTACATCTCATTCCTACATCGAGTGATCTGAAGCATCTGATTTTGCCCAAAAAACTGCATTGAATAAATTATCTTTTTAACTTGTTATCTGAAAAATGTTATTTAGGCTTTCCTGAATTAATGATGTGATTGCAATAAATCTTTTTTTTTATGAACCAATTGAAAAGATTAAAAATGAAATGAAAAATTGACTGTTGGCTTTTCCCTCCTCTAGGTGGAATGGAGAACATAAAACAACATACATTTGCTTTAGCTCACTACACCTATAGAGTTCTCTCTTCCTTAAAATATGCTAATGGAGTACCTGTTGTGCAAATTTACAGTGATACTGACTTCAGTAGCCCAGATGTCCAGGGTCCAATCATTAATTTTAATGTACTGGATGAAAATGGAGATATAGTTGGTTATTCCCAGGTAAAATCTAGTAATTTATCTTTTTCTCTTGTAGCTTTATGATCAAACTGTTCCCCTCTAAATATCTGTGCATAGTAACATTGCATCCCCTAATCCTTTTCTTCCACCTGAAGGAAACTTGAATTTTCTGAATATCCTACTTGTATCATCTATAATATGCTTTTGCCTCTTACCCACAATATCCTCTCACCCAGTTTCCCAAGATGTGGTAGTAATTCCAGAAAAGGTGATGCTAGTGAAATGCACATAGCTTAGAAACAAGTAATAGTGGGGTTTTTTTCCAGAGTCAAATGGGGCACAATATTGCATACCTACTCATAGTATATATGTTCAGTTATTTTGCTGCTTTGATCCCTGTTGCTGTTACTCCTGGCAGTGTCCCTATTGGTCTTCTTTGGGGAAATGATGGTAAAAGGATAGGCACAGGAGAAGGAGAAAGCAGGAAGGAAGGAATTGCCATGTCATCACTCAAGGCTCATGGGGAAATTAAGAGGAGGTGGGGTATAGAGCTGAGACAAATCAAGAATAGTAGAGGCTGTCAGTATCCTAGATAGAGCACCAATTGCTAGACATCCCACACATATGTAACAGCTTCTCCTGTTCCCAGAGGGCAGTTTGTTGTCCTGCAATATCAGGAGCCCATAAAAGAGCAATGGAGCTACACACAGTTTTAAATGAGCTGACAAGGAGGGCACATAAGGGGTTTCTGACAGGTGAAGTCAAGGTCAAGAGTGTGTGTCATTAGTTTAAAAGGCCTTTAAGAGACATAATCCTGGAACAAAGCCAAAGTTCATAACAGAGGAAAATCATACTGATACAGTTGTTCACTTACATACTGGAAGCCACAGAAGAGTCCATTGCTTGGCCATAATCAGGTAACTGCAGAACCACACCATATATAGAATGTGCAGAGTCATAGCTTTAGGATCTGTTGTTGTTGCTGACAGTCTGGGCAATTGCCAGGAATGCTTTTATACAAACATTGCCAGCTCCTTCTATAACATAGTTGCATCCACTCAGAGACTGCTAGGTTTTCATCAGTGAAGTTCCTTACTCTCAAAGAGTTCTTCTGCTCCAATTCCTTCTAGGCAGGTTGACTCTGCTCTGCCTCTTCTAGTGTCTAGGTTGGAGGAGGGGAACAGTTGAGGGTATCCCTGCCAGAATCTTCTGGAGAAATTGTATCCTATAGAGTCCCCTAGAGACCATGGCTCTGCCTGGTCCCTTTTCTCTGCTGAGTCCTGCAAGGTTCTACTTCCTAGGGGCTCATCTGATAAGGACTCCTCTAGCACAGCCATGGCATAGGTGCCATTATTCCAGTAAAGTGTAGAAGCCTCTTCAGAAGTCAGTCCAGTTTGATTCTGCTATTATTCCTGTCCCTTCTGAGGTGCTGGCTGATGCTTCGAACAGCCGTTGCTTTTTCTGCAACCATTGGTACTTACAAGATAGGGAGTAGCTTCTCTGAGTCCATGGAGTCTAGCAAGATAACATCCTGTGGTCTGGAGGGTCCCTGTGCAGGGGACAGTGACTGCTCAGGCAGCAGTTCCAAGTGAGCTTCAAGGTTGCTGAGATGGGAGGATATTGGGGGAAGTGAAGTGAGTGCTGGTAGATGCAGACCAAGAAGCTAATACAGTTGTGAGTTTCTGACAGAAGCCCATCACACCATAATAAGGTGACATCCCATGTTGACTCTGCTATGAACGTGATGTAGGATTTGAAAACTGGTAAATGAAGGATACCAACCCCATATATCTCCAGCCACTGTCCTGTGCTGTGAAGACATCCAGAATAAGGCTCTGTTACACATCTCCCCTGGAAATGGCAGCCCCATGTAAGACTTGTTTGTATATCCCCATCAGCAAATTGTTTGTTAGAGTGTTAGAAGACAACATGAGAAGTATTCTTAAATATTAGTGAAAGGGGAAATTAAGAGGAGGTGGGGTATAGAGCTGAGACAAATCAAGAATAGTAGAGGCTGTCAGTATCCTAGATAGAGCACCAATTGCTAGACATCCCACACATATGTAACAGCTTCTCCTGTTCCCAGAGGGCAGTTTGTTGTCCTGCAATATCAGGAGCCCATAAAAGAGCAATGGAGCTACACACAGTTTTAAATGAGCTGACAAGGAGGGCACATAAGGGGTTTCTGACAGGTGAAGTCAAGGTCAAGAGTGTGTGTCATTAGTTTAAAAGGCCTTTAAGAGACATAATCCTGGAACAAAGCCAAAGTTCATAACAGAGGAAAATCATACTGATACAGTTGTTCACTTACATACTGGAAGCCACAGAAGAGTCCATTGCTTGGCCATAATCAGGTAACTGCAGAACCACACCATATATAGAATGTGCAGAGTCATAGCTTTAGGATCTGTTGTTGTTGCTGACAGTCTGGGCAATTGCCAGGAATGCTTTTATACAAACATTGCCAGCTCCTTCTATAACATAGTTGCATCCACTCAGAGACTGCTAGGTTTTCATCAGTGAAGTTCCTTACTCTCAAAGAGTTCTTCTGCTCCAATTCCTTCTAGGCAGGTTGACTCTGCTCTGCCTCTTCTAGTGTCTAGGTTGGAGGAGGGGAACAGTTGAGGGTATCCCTGCCAGAATCTTCTGGAGAAATTGTATCCTATAGAGTCCCCTAGAGACCATGGCTCTGCCTGGTCCCTTTTCTCTGCTGAGTCCTGCAAGGTTCTACTTCCTAGGGGCTCATCTGATAAGGACTCCTCTAGCACAGCCATGGCATAGGTGCCATTATTCCAGTAAAGTGTAGAAGCCTCTTGAGAAGTCAGTCCAGTTTGATTCTGCTATTATTCCTGTCCCTTCTGAGGTGCTGGCTGATGCTTCGAACAGCCGTTGCTTTTTCTGCAACCATTGGTACTTACAAGATAGGGAGTAGCTTCTCTGAGTCCATGGAGTCTAGCAAGATAACATCCTGTGGTCTGGAGGGTCCCTGTGCAGGGGACAGTGACTGCTCAGGCAGCAGTTCCAAGTGAGCTTCAAGGTTGCTGAGATGGGAGGATATTGGGGGAAGTGAAGTGAGTGCTGGTAGATGCAGACCAAGAAGCTAATACAGTTGTGAGTTTCTGACAGAAGCCCATCACACCTTAATAAGGTGACATCCCATGTTGACTCTGCTATGAACGTGATGTAGGATTTAAATACTGGTAGATGAAGGATACCAACCCCATATATCTCCAGCCACTGTCCTGTGCTGTGAAGACATCCAGAATAAGGCTCTGTTACACATCTCCCCTGGAAATGGCAGCCCCATGTAAGACTTGTTTGTATATCCCCATCAGCAAATTGTTTGTGAGAGTGGGAGAAGACAACATGAGAAGTATTCTTAAATATTAGTGAAAGAGATTAAGAGATTAACTATTCGTGGGCCTGCCATTTTCAGGGCTTGTGTCATGTCAGTACAATTCTACACCATGTGTTCAATAGAAAAGATTCCCTGGAATGTGAGCATGGCCATTTGGAATACTGGTTGCATACTTTCTTCAGAAGTATGATGAAAAACTATCTCTTTGTCCTTTATGAGTTACGTCACCGGAGTATTTTGAGTGATAGTGTAAGCAGCCAAGGCCACCTCCCTTTTTATTTCTGTTAAAGATTATACTGTTCAGTAACTGTCAAAGAATATGAATTAGCCATTCCGAAGCTTTTAAGAATGTATCCACTCATTATATTAAACATGATGACTCCAGCGAAGAGAAATATTCATAGCTGGCCTAATGGCTTTTTTGGCTGTGCTCCCAAAAGCTGTCTCAAGACTACTATGGTGATTGCTCACTATCGATTTTTTAAAATTGATCCAGCCATTAAGACTTCAGGCAACCAGAAGAAGTTGATGGACTGGAGACACAAGATATAAACCAGGTTATGAGGAAAGAGATTCTGCTGATCCCTTCAGTTCCAAATCTAGTAATTTTGGGGGGTCTGAATTGTTTTTTACTGTTGTGCAGTAGAGATTTTACTGCAAGTGCTGAAGGCACTACCAAAAGAGAGCTGATCTTTGAATGGGGTTTCATTATCTTAGCCTGATAAAGTACATCTTTCTAGAGGATTTTTTTCAAAATGTGCTGCCAAGCATAGAATATGAAATTGCAAAAGCAAAAAGGTGCATTTACAATTGAACACATGGAGTTTTTTTAAAAAATCGGGTAATAGGGTTGTATTAAAACATATATTGTGCTGTAACATATGTTATGTTACTTAATGTTAAAAGTAGAGTGGCCTAGAGTGGCCTTAAGTGGCTAGATAGAAAAAGTATCTGAAAACAATGTGAAAAATCAACAGAGAAAGCTAGGCTAATCTAGAAGCCCAGATTTTAATGAAACAGATTTACACATTTTTCACCCCTCTGCAAAAGATGTTCCCTGAAGTCACCACTATTATTCTCTACTGTGTCTTCACAAATGGCTGAATTACGGGTGGGAGGGGAATCATACTTTTGCTTAGCCTCATACTTCATCAACTAGCCACAAATGCAGCCACTGTGGGGCTCTGCTATCATTACACCCAGTACTGTCTCTGACACTACTGTAGCATCAGCTGGTAACTTAAAACTTTGTGGGATGGCCATTTGCAATGCCATTGGTTTCACTGATCCCAGGTGTTAATTATAAATGTTTCACTGGGTGGCACTGTCAAGTATACGGGCCTTGTACTTGAGCCTTCATTTTCCAATGGAAGTTTTCCGAATGGAGATAAGCATATTGCAGTTTGCCCTAAAGAGGAAAGGAGACTTTGTTGTGCCCTTAGTGGCACTGTCTGATACCCCTGCAAGATATTTTGGAAATCAAAGTTTCTCACATCCATCACCATGTAGATTCCATACAGTGCACTTCCAGATGCCTACAACACCATCTAATCTTGCTAGGTGGAATGAACCTCTGCTGTTCACTCCTGAGGACATGGACAATTTGCTTGGTCACCTTGGAACCAACTAGATACATGCTTGTTTGTCCTTTGTCCATCTTTGGCTTGGTAGATGCAGTGTGGTGGTGGGGTGTCTCAAATTCTTTGTTGAGACAGGGAGCAGCATCTGCCTCTTTAAAAGAGGCAACGGTCTGACCATTCCTGAAGAAGTCCAGCCTTCATCTAGAAGAGGAAAGCAACTATTGGACGGTTACTAACATCCACAGTTCTACTTACAGTGTTATATCCATTCTTTTATTCCATATTGAACATTAGGAATTCCTGTTGCATTGGCTTCATATTTGGTCCCATGTGTTCTTATGACTTATTAACTTACATGTATCTTATTTTTCTATTACTATTGCTGATAGCCAAAGTTTGTGTCTATTTTCATTTCTCAATCACACATCTTCATATATTAGCTCTGTAGTCTCATTCTTTCTATTCCTCTATTTGTTATTTATTCCAATATCAATTCATGATTATATTTATCTCTGTTAATTGATGAGTGCTATTTTCATATCCATATCTAAACAAGTCCCGATTTATTCAGTGACAAGGAGTTCTTAAATGAGACAATGGGATGAGAACTAGTTGGTCTGTTCTTTATGTGTATTATGAAGATACAGGATGGGGCTCCACAAAGATACTTTCATCATAATCATAATCATCATTGTACAATCTCACTGGGATATAGTTATGCAAATGGTTGTTACCCACATTACATAGGAGTTTACAACAACTAAATTGTTAACTGATTTGTGCGTGGGGGAGTGCATGTGGGTATCCTCTTGTGCTCATCATGTTAATAAAAACTAGATTTATAGCATTAAAACATACATCTTTGCTGTCCTTCTGCAAGCAAATGAAGACCTTTCTCTTCAGGCAGGTTTTCCTTTAAATGACTGGTTTACAAAGCGGATTTTAAAAAGGGATTATTTTATTTATGGTATTTAATATTGCTCTTATTTGTGAGTTTTTATAATATATCTGTTTAATCTTTTTTAAAATATTGTAAGCCACCTTGGACCTATTACAAGAAAGACGGCATATGAATATTTTAAATAAATAAATGATCAATAAAATAAATACAATCATAATCTTTTCTTCTTTGGCCCTGTGAAAATCACAAGGTAGACAAGCTGGCTGGACTCTACAACATCCACTTGCGCACGGGATGTTTTTGTAATACTGGAGCTTGTCAACAGCATTTGGGGATCACCTCTGATGACATCAGAAAGAACCTCCAGGTCAGTGTGTGTTTAGTCCCCCTGTGTCATGCTCAGAGTACAACTGCATGCTCATATTTCCTCCACTACCTCTTTGTTTGTTTGTTTGTTTTTATGTAATTCCTACCTCACGCTGCTCCCAGTAAAGTCACTTACAAAAGATTTTTAAACAAAAATATTAGAAACAATTCAAAATATAATATTGTTACACTATTGAAAACCAATGAAACATACAGTCATTAAACAGTATGAAATAAAAATCTGTTACAATAACTAACAAGATTTTTTAAAAACAGCTCCCCATTTAAAATTCATGCCTGGCCAACAGTTTACTTTTTAGAAGCCTACCTCTAAAAAGGCATTTGACTGCTGCCAGATGGATTGGGGTGAGCAGCCACCAGAAACACTCTCTCTCCTGTCATTTGAAGTGTGCCTATGAGGGTTGTGAGACTGAGAAAAAGGACTCTTAAAACCTGTGGAGCATTATATGGGGAGTTACAGTCTCTCCAATACCATGGATCCACTTTCTTTTCTAGCACATCCCACTAAGATCCACTATGATGGCTTTATTGAATATAAGCTCCCAAGTACTGCTAAAGTCAAATCTCAAATGTGAACCCAGTGAAGATATCTTACTACTAGCTCTCTCTAGTTTTAGTCATTGTATGTTCATGCATTTTGCTGCAGCGTAAAGACAGCTCCCATGCACTAGGTTCCATGTGAAAAGAGGTCAAGATTTAGCAACGCCATAACCCCATTTGCCATCATTCTAGTGCATGCCTCCCCTATCCCCCTGTCAAGCTAGATGCATAGTTAGTAGGTAGGCACAAGGAGGACAAATGGCTTTATGAGAAAGCTCACATTTGCTTCTGCAAAGAGTCCGGGTTCAGTTCCCTGGCACCTTTAGTGAGAGCCTTGTTATCAGGTAAACAGGATCGCTCTCAATATACTAATGTTCTGCCTTGGTCTAAATATCTTCAAATGTTCATATTTGAGCACAGTAAATCAACAGAGGTAGAAAGTGGAGCTTGTTCATTATTTATTTGCTTTTAAAATTTATAAACAACATGTTCATTTTTACTGTGATAAACAAAGCATAAAAACACACGGAAAAAATATTTAATGCCAGCATTTAAAATCACAGTAAAAAACTTTGTTTAAAATAGGCAACCACACCAGTACACTTAATAATTAATGATCTCCAAGTGCTGGTGGAAGAAGTAGATTTTCACCACTGTTCTAGTAAAGAAGGATTCAGATGTCTAAGCAGGGCATTAAAAAAAGACTAGAGGTTGTGAATATTCAAGGCTAAGGCTTGGGAAGAAGTGACAGTAAAAATGGGATGGCTCCTGCTCTGAAGGACAGCATATGGAGCAAGGGTGGGAATCTTGTAGCTGCCAGATTTCATGACTTCTTCTACCGAAAAGGGGGAAATTACAGCCATTAAAAGTATTCAAAAGTAGGATTTTCCTTTAGAACAAGTCACAGCATCTCCCATCTGATGTGGTTTGTCAAGAACTCCTGCCCAAGGGGTTTTACAGAAACAAAAGTACACTCCTAATTAGTTTGGGTTTAATGGGCACTGGAGGTGATCCTTGGGAGGGTCTACAAGAGTGAAATTTGTCCCTGGAGTTTTTTCTGCCCTGATCTGGAGACATTGCTTTGATGCAGTCCATCTGTGTTTTGTTTTTGTTTTTCCCAGAATCTTACTACTGTGAAAATAAAAAAATACATTTCAAGAGTGAATTAAAATGTTCAAAATCTCTTAAATATATATGTTGTTTGTATATAATTAGGCTGGTCACATTTGTGGAGATGACATTGATATAATTGATGGATGTCCCACTGGTTCAGTGAGAATCTCCTTTGGCTATATGTCAACATTTGAAGATGCACGTACTTTTCTGAACTTCATTATAACCACCAGACTCTCTGGCTGCAGTGTAGTTCATGTCCCAAGAGAGAATATTTCAGAGTCTCTAGCATCTGCTCAAGATAATAGCCACACTTCTAATAGCAACGGTGTAAAAAGCATGCCTCTCAAAAGGATAATCAAGGATTCCCAGCATAGTACTCCTTCAGCTCCAGTGATTATGCCAACCAATCTACAGCCCACAAAGAGGCATCCAGAAAGAGGCCTGCCTGATGTTTTTGGAACGTCAGCGGAAGCACAGCTGCATGGTAGAAGGCCAGTCACTGTAACCAACATTTATCTCTACCCAATCAAATCATGTGCTGCTTTTGAGGTAAGTCCTTTTTTCTGTGATATTTTGAGAGATTTATATCATTTTGTTAATTCTGTTGATATTACAGTTACTCGATTTCAAAGCAGCGAAGAGTTTCAGGGGATCTGGTGCTTATTCAGGATTCAGCTTCCTTGGAAAGTGTTCACTGGAGACTTTTGACATTTCTCTGCTATATAACGTAATGAACATGTTATAATTGAAAGGAACCATATTTGCATTACAAAGAAATGTTATAATTAAAAATACATTTGCAACAAAATATGTCATCTGTTGTGGCCCTTTTTGAAAGTTCACTCTTTGAAGATTTTAATTGCTTTTCATTTTCAGAGTTAATAATATACACTGGTGGTGATATTTTTTCTTCTTCTTGAATGAGGTGTGTTGAAATATGTGGGTGGTCTCTAAAGCATGACCTAGAATCTAGCTTTCCTGTGCAGTATGTTTTGTAGTGTATTAATGAATGTCAGTATCATTATAGTCACTTTTATGAAAGCTTCCTCATCTCAGTCACACTCTCACATCTGATTGTCTGTTGATTGAGCAGGAAATAATTTCATTACCAGACATTATTTGCAAAAAGGTGTGTTGTTACGCCCTCACTATCCTCCAAGTAACAATTACAGGCATTGTCATTACTCAAAAGGAAACTCTTCACCCCTTTCAGGTTATAGAGTGGCCTATTGGCAATCAAGGCTTGTTGTATGACCGCAGTTGGATGGTTGCAAATCAGAATGGAGTATGCATTACTCAAAAGCAGGAACCAAGACTGTGCCTTGTACAACCCTTGATTGACCTGGAGCAGGATGTGATGATCATCCAGGCAGAAGGTTGGTAAAGCAAGGGTTCTTTTTTTCTTGAGATTGTTTGCTGTTGTAAAATGGGCAAGTTCACAAACTGCTGATATTTCTGATGTGTTGCTATGGATTCCATATATTGTGGTAGAAATAATGGCTAAAATCACATTGGCAATTGCTGAAGGTAACTGATCTCTCGGCAGTGTGCTCTGTGATTGCTCCAGCAATCCTTTGCTGATAGTTATGCATTTGTAGGCCACAGTGTCATCTCATTAAAAACTACAGGAGGTAGGTAAGCATGGAGGAGTAGCAGATACCCCTTGGGCAATTGCTATAAAAAGATAACCATACACAATAAGCTGTTGTACGCATGGAAAAGAAAAAACAAACAGGATTTTGAGCAATGTATCATAGAACACTCACCCTCTCTGTGGGCAGGGGCATATCATACCCATGTACCTTCATGTTCTTCTCCTCAAAAGTCTCATTAATAATGTACTCCTGGAGGGTGCTGTCATTCATTTATTTGAGCAACTACATCCAAATAAATGTAGTCCCAGTGAGCTACATCATGGTTCATTGAAAAGAAACAAGGGACAGTTCCCCACCCCCCGTGTGGGTGTTCTGTGTTGTCGACTTGGAAGTGACTTATAGCAACCCTAATAGGGCTTTTAATTAATTTATTTCTTTATCTATTTATTTCAAATATTTTTATCCCGCCTTTCTCTTTGAAAAGGACCCTCAAAGTAAGTGAGAAATTTTAGGAATGGTTTTACCAGTTTCGCTCCCTCAGTTTCCATGGCCACGTGGGAACTCAAACCCTAATCTGTCATTCTGTCCACTACACCACACTGGGAATGTGCCCCAGCCCCAAATCTTACATCATCTGGAATAAACAAATATTCCAATGGCAAAAATAAATATATTTGTAGGAATGTTCTTTGTTCTAACCATTTTTTGGTGATAGCAGATAAACCTATACTTAGCAAGTGTGGGCATTTGGAGATATTGTTTACCAGTGTGCAGACACCAGCTTGTTAGAATGCTTACATTTTATACCTACTTCTGGATGGATTCTGCAGCAAAATGTGGTCCTGGGGAACTAAAATATTTCACTGTGATGCAAGGAGGCTAAAACAGAGGAAACCTACATGTGCCCTTGAAAGTATTTTATGTTTGGTATTTCCCTTGCCTCTGATCTTGCCCAATGAAAACCTCCTATAGCATCTATTTAAAACAGTAACAAGCATTTGTATTATTTCATTTGAATGTGCATTATCTACCATATTTCCCCTCTGCAGTGTGTTTGAAAGAACCCTATATTTTCATTTTATTACACAACTCACATTGAGGTGTGATAAGGTGGTCTTTTTCCATAAGCAGTAGCTGCAGTGGCTGCAATAGATTTGAGCCAATATTAGCATATGAGACATAGGAGAAGTAAAGTTGCAAAACTCCAAAATTATATATTGGTAAGTATCCTTGGAGAATCAAAGCCACACAAAACACAGCTACTGTATATCCTTGTTCAAATATCCTTTGGAGCCACCTGCAGGTACCAAAGCGTATTTCTCTACAGAAGCTCTATCATTCTGACCTAGAGTAATGTTAGCTCTCTGCAAATCATAATTTGTAGATCATATATTCCTCGTCCTCCCTCTTCTACCTCTGGAATGAATTTATTCCTCCTTTGAAGGGATGGCTGGATACCTCAGTGAGATGGGTACCTGGCTGCATAGCCAGAGACAGGGAATTTAGTTCCTCAGGAGAAAAGCCAGGCTGTGTAGCCTTGGGCAAGCTGCATAGTTGCAAGGCATTCCTAGAAGAAGGAAATGGTAAACCACTTCTGGTTCCCCGCTGTGCCTCCCAAGAGAAAAACCAGGTTGTGTAGCCTTGGGCAAGCTGCTTAGTTGCAAGGCATTCCTAGAAGAAGAAAATGGTAAACCACTTCTGAATACTTTAAACCAGGAAGATGTTGTAAAGGACTGTTTCAAGTTAGAATCAACTTCATGACATGATTGATTATTATTATTTTTCTGTAATTAGCTATGGTTTTATGTTACATTCTAAAGAAGCTACACCTAATTCTCTTGTAAACCATGATGTGAAGTAGTTTTAGCAAACCACAGTGGATTTTGTTCTAATTACATTTATCTGTGGGCATTATCTACAGTGGATATAAAAAGTTTACACACCTCTGTTAAAATGTCAAGTGTCTGTGATATAGAAAAAATGAAACAAAAGTCAATCATTTCAGAACTTTTTCCACCTTTAATGAGTTACATCCCCAGTTATAAGAGGGTGTGCACACATATGCAACCATATTGTTTAAGTTTTTTATTTTTACTTCCCTCCACATAAAAGATTTTAGTTTATTGTTCAACTGAGTTGTACAGTTAAAAGGTCTCATTAAAGGTGGAAAAAGTTCTGAAATGATTTATCTTTATTTCATTTTTTTTACATCACAGACACTTGACATTTTAACAGGGGTTAAACGTTTTACATCCACTGTACAAGATGTACAGGGGTGTGTAAACTTTTTATATCCACTGTACAGAAAATCAACGACATACATTTTGGATCTTTTGGCACTAAACTCTGAACAGTTAGGAAAACCTCATGCACTAAAAGCCAAGGGAGAAAGGTTTTCATATAACAGCATTTTGATTTTTTTTTATTCTGTTAAAGCTTGAAAATGAGTGTTAATCACATATAAGGGAATCAGCATCATACATCCATAAAACAAAGAGAGAGAAGGAGTGAAAGTGTGTGTGTCTATATTAGAAGGGGAGAGAGGGAGAGAGAGGAGGAGGTTGTGGATGTAGCACTTTGAAGAGTTATGAATTTTTAACACACCTTTAATTTGACACAGCATTAATTCAAGCGTAGAGCATCTAATATTTAAATGGAAACAAGCCCTTGAAGGGAAAGTCAAGAGCCAGCCAGAATATCACAGAGTAAAACATAGATGTGTGTCTTCTGAGCAAAACAACTACAGAGAAACTGGTGAGGACAGACAGTGTGTGGTAGTTTTAGATTGCTGGCTTTTCATGAAGGAGCAGATCTGGTAGAACGTTGAGAACATTTTGAAGGGGATGAAGACAAAAGGAAATGAAGGAAGGTTGCAAGAGAAAGAAGAACTGGATATTGCAAAAGCAAGAATGGCTTCAGTATTTGAAGAAGTGACAGAGTGTGTAAGATTTGTGGTGGTGACAGGGATATTGTGAGAACACAGCCAACTGGAGAAAGCCAAGAACCAAGGAGCCGAAAGAGGACAATTCTAGTACGAAGGGAAGACTGAGACTCAGAGAAGAGGCTGTGTTCTGAGTGAAGGTGGCAACCAAAGGAAAGAATATTAAGAAAAATGGAGTGGATATTCACTCAGTGGATATTCTTAAACCAGGAGTGGGCAACAGTGGTGCTCCAAATAATGTTGAACTAGAGTTCCTACCAATCCATCAACAACAACTTTGATGACTAGGAAGCAGGAGTTGCACAACTCCTAGAGAGCTACAGTTGCCCATCCCATTATGCGTGAAGCCCTGTTTAATCAAACATTCTCACTGAAGTGACAAAAAAAACAGTGATGCAGGCTGCTGGGAGGAAAAATACAATCTTGCATGTTTTTTTCATTACACTGTTATTGGGAGCATACCATATTTATCTGTAGTCCCTAGGTATTACCTGTGACTAACCTAACTGCAGACCTTTTCCCCTCTATTTCAGAGTCCTTGAGGTGGCCCCTTCTGTCCTGTTGCTTCCTTTATCATGTGCCTTCCCCTCTCATGCATTTTCTGTCCACTAAAGATAGATGTATGGAGATGTGGCTTCATCCGATACAAATATTTTTGTTTTCTTTAAGCAAGACATCCAAACTGATCCTTTCCCCCCTTTTCCATGGGAACCAGTGAGATTGGGTAGATTTCTCCATGCTTTTTTCTACAACAAAAAGAGAATGACCAAACTCCTGATTGTTCTGACAGCTTCAACTATTTGTCACAGCAGAAATTGCAAATTTGCCTTTTTTCCTTTCCAACTTGGTTTATTCCCCATATCAATGGCTGAAGTTTTTCAAAAAAGTATAGAATAATTTCAAGGATAACAAAAACAACAACAGGCTTACACAATAAGGCCAATATTAATTTTCTTGAGCTTTTGTTGTTTCTACTCCAATGCAAGATCTACAATATGCAGATGTTAACATGGAAAATATAACAGATCTAGAGGTAAAAGCTTTACATGCATACTATCTTATTTATTGTTTATTTTATTTATTTGATTCATGTTCCATCTTTTTAGAACTCAAGGCCACTCACAAGGTCAAAAATAGTATTAGATGTGGTTAGAATCATTCATTGCACTTGCATAGGACTTGCTGAAAAGCAAGAATACGGTAGTCCAGGAATTCTTGTTCAGATGTTGCAGCATGTATGGGTGCTTCAGATGGATAGTGCGGTTATCCCAGAGAATTATCATTTTCTGCAATTGATCTGTGGTCTTTCCATTGAAAGTGTTGCATCTTTCTTCAGGGTTCTGTTCCAATCCAGCAAGAAGCAAAATAAATCCATCCCCATTTTAAAGAGTCTGTGAAATATGTCAGCCAGGAACTCATTTTGCTTGCAGAATTCTATGTTTATTCTATGTCAAACACCTGTGATTAGATTAGGCTGTAACACAATACTTCTCTGTGCTTTTCCTGATAGGGATGGAGCCTATCTCTGTGTCCTTAGAAGAAAACAGTGGAGGCCTAACCAAGATCTGTCAAAGCAAAGTCTGCTCGCATAGGTGAGACACACAAGGTGCTTCTGTTGTTTAAAACCACAGGGACTGCTTTACTAGCATAGACAAAAGCATGGGGAGCAGTAACACAAACACAATGGCTACATTTGGATGATCTTTGGAAGTCTGCTCATCCCTCTCCTAGTGTGTTGTCTTCAAGGATGTCCCAGAGTGCTCATCAGTGTGACTATTGAGTAGCAGGAGTGCAGCAGGTAGTGAGTAGGAAGAAATTAGCAGGAATTGCCAGTGAGAGTAGCAGCATCAAAGACTGCACAGCAATGGCAGAAACACCTTTGGCAGCAGTGCTGTGGTTTCTTGGTGGTGGCTGGGAGATATGAGGTGGCACACAGCTGTACTTGGGGCCCATGGGCTCTGGGTGGGGTACAGTACACCTGTCCTAGGTACGTGATAGTGAATAACATCCAGAGTTGACTAAATAGTTCTTCCAGATATCATCAGGGGGAACAATTATTGTTAACATTTTGGTATAAAAATGCTATAATGAATTTGTGGGTAGTAGGAATAATAGATAATAAATAATCCAGCTATATACTGTACTGCCAGATGACAGTAATTTTGCAGTTTAGACAGATTGCTTCTATGTTTTTCCCCCCTTCTTTTCAGAGTACAGACATATGACTGTGGAGAAAGAGTGGCTGATTGGTTTTCTACATTTCTTGGCCGGCAGTGTCGCCTCATCAGGCAGAGTTCAGACTCCCAAAGAAATGCTAATAAGAAAGATGAAACAGGTATATGCGTATATTTTGCATGGCTGCTTTGTAGTCTTGTGCTACGAAGCTGAAATGTCAGCATGATTTATACGGTCTGTTACTGGTAAAAATCAGAATTGCTACTGTGATAAGAAATTGAAAATTTTAAAAAATACATGCACAATGGGCTGGATTTAGATACAGTACTTATATAGAACTTGGAAAACCTCTAAGTTTCATACTAAAACTCTCCCTAACCACTTGGCTCCTCAAATCATCAGTAACACTGTATTCATATTGAATGTATTATAGACCCAAACTGTGATTTTGAAAATACATCTGAAAATATCTTCATGTTATTGCCTGCTTAGATAGAAACAAGGGACATGGTGGCGCTGCGGGTTAAACTGCAGAAGCCTCTGTGCTGCAAGGTCGGAAGACCAGCAGTTGCAAGATCAAATCCAGGCAATGGAGTGAGCTTACATCGCTTGTCCCAGCTCCTGCCAACCCAGCAGTTTGAAAGCATGCAAATACGAGTAGATAAATAGGGACCACCTCAGTGGGAAGGTAACGGCGTTCCTTGGTATAAAAATGCTATAATGAATTTGTGGGTAGTAGGAATAATAGATAATAAATAATCCAGCTATATACTGTACTGCCAGATGACAGTAATTTTGCAGTTTAGACAGATTGCTTCTATGTTTTTCCCCCCTTCTTTTCAGAGTACAGACATATGACTGTGGAGAAAGAGTGGCTGATTGGTTTTCTACATTTCTTGGCCGGCAGTGTCGCCTCATCAGGCAGAGTTCAGACTCCCAAAGAAATGCTAATAAGAAAGATGAAACAGGTATATGCGTATATTTTGCATGGCTGATTTGTAGTCTTGTGCTACGAAGCTGAAATGTCAGCATGATTTATACGGTCTGTTACTGGTAAAAATCAGAATTGCTACTGTGATAAGAAATTGAAAATTTTAAAAAATACATGCACAATGGGCTGGATTTAGATACAGTACTTATATAGAACTTGGAAAACCTCTAAGTTTCATACTAAAACTCTCCCTAACCACTTGGCTCCTCAAATCATCAGTAACACTGTATTCATATTGAATGTATTATAGACCCAAACTGTTATTTTGAAAATATATCTGAAAATATCTTCATGTTATTGCCTGGTGGTGCTGCGGGTTAAACTGCAGAAGCCTCTGTGCTGCAAGGTCAGAAGACCAGCAGTTGCAAGATCAAATCCAGGCAATGGAGTGAGCTTACATCGCTTGTCCCAGCTCCTGCCAACCCAGCAGTTTGAAAGCATGCAAATACGAGTAGATAAATAGGGACCACCTCAGTGGGAAGGTAACGGCGTTCCATGTCTAGTCGTGCTGGCCATGTGATCACGGAAACTGTCTACAGACAAACGCTGGCTCTACGGCTTGGAAACGGGGATGAACACGGCCCCCTAGAGTCGGGTACAATTGGACTAAATGTCAAGGGGAACCTTTGCTTTTACCTTTACCGAGATAGAAACATTGAGTTGAATGCTGTGTTAATTTACTACTAGTTGAAAATATGAACATTAGTGCTGAGTCAGTGTTGACACATTCATGGAGGGCATCCTAGGAGATTCTCTTGAGTTTTCCCAAAGGTGATCAGAATACAGTTCTTAAAATATTATTATCAATAATTTGGAAATATGTGCATCATTAGCACATAAGATTCTTTTAAAAAGAAAAGAGGGTGTAGAATGGCCCTGGTGGCACATTCCTACAAGCAGCAGCAGCAGCAGGTTACTTTTCTTGTATCTGTTCTCACTAGAGGAAATCTTTGGGGAAAAGCTGAATTCTTTATGCACTGCTCACTGTTTAATATTTGTCATATATTTCAGCTGCAGCTGCGCCACTGTCTCTAGTGAATGAAGCACAGTATCTCCTTGTAAACAGGACAAGTATTTTAAAACTGAAAGATCAAGTTGCTGAAAGGTACGTACTTCTTATGAATTTGTGCATTTCCTTCTTTGGGGTATTTTTTAACCTTTTTCAAGAAGAAGATATTTCAGCCTAATATGTCAAATCATCCCTGCCTTCTTACTTATATTAACCACACTGTCAGTTCTAGACCTTGAGGAAATCAATAGCCTATTATTATTTTCCAGTTGCTGTTAAAAAAAATTGTAAGAGAAGCCCTGCTTTTGTTCTTTAGTCATTAAGTCCTGTCCGACTTCATCACCCCATGGACCAGAGCACGCCAGGCCCTCCTGTCTTCCACTGCCTCCCGGAGTTGGGTCAGATTCATGTTGGTCGCTTCAATGACACTGTCCAACCATCTCGTCCTCTGTCATCCTCTTCTCCTCTTGCCTTCACACTTTCCCAACATCAGGGTCTTTTCCAGGGAGTCTTCTCTTCTCATGAGATGGCCAAAGTATTGGAGCCTCAGCTTCAGGATCTGTCCTTCCAGTGAGCACTCAGGGTTGATTTCCTTCAAAACGGATAGATTTGTTTTTCTTACGGTCCAGGGGATTCTCAAGAGCCTCCTCCAGCACCACAATTCAAAAGCATCAGGTCTTTGGCGGTCAGCCTTCTTTATGCTGCAGCTCTCACTTTCATACATCACTACAGGAAAAACCATAGCTTTGACTATGCGGACTTTTATTGGCAAGGTGATGTCTCTGCTTTTTAAGATTCTGTCAAGGTTTGTCATCACTTTCCGCCCAAGAAGCAGGGGTCTTTTAATTTTGTGACTGCTGTCAGTATCTGTTGTGATCATGGAGCTCAAGAAAGTAAAATCTGTCACTGCCTCCATATCTTCCCCTTCTATTTGTCAGGAGGTGATGGGGCCAGTGGCCATGATCTTAGTTTTTTTGATGTTGAGCTTCAAACCGTTTTTTGCGCTCTTCTCTTTCACCCTCATTAAGAGGTTCTTTAATTCCTCCTCACTTTCTGCCATCAGAGTGGTATCATCTGCATATCAGAGATTGTTGATATTTCTTCCGGCAATCTCAGTTCCGGCTTGGGATTCCTCCAGTCTGGCCTTTCGCATGATGCATTCTGCGTATAAGATAAAATAAGCAGGGAAACAATATACAACCTTGTACTCCTTTCCCAGTTTTGGACCAATCAGTTGTTCCATTTCCAGTTCTAACTGTTGCTTCCTGCCGCACATTTCGATTTCTCAGGAGATAGATAAAGTGGTCAGACACTCCCATTTCTTTAAGAACTTTCCATAGTTTGCTGTGGTCCATGCAATCAAAGGCTTTTGCATAGTCGATGAAGCAGAAGTAGATGTTTTTCTGGAACTCTCTGGCTTTCTCCATAATCCAGCGCATGTTAGCAATTTTGTCTCTAGTTCCTCTGTCCCTTCGAAATCCAGTTTGTACTTCTGAGAGTTCCTGGTCCACATACTGCTGAAGCCTGCCTTGGAGTATTTTGAGCATAACCTTGCTAGTATGTGAAATGAGTGCAGTTGTACGGTAGTTGGAGCATTCTTTGGCACTCTCCTTCTTTGGGACTGGGATGTAGACTGATCTTTTCCAATCCTCTGGCCATTGCTGAGTTTTCCAAACTTGTTGACATATTGAGTGTAGCACCTTAACAGCGTCATCTTTTAAGATTTTAAATAATTCAACTGGAATGCTATCACCTCCACTGGCCTTGTTGTTAGCCATGCTTTCTAGGGCCCACTTGACTTCTAGCCCTGCTAGATCAAACCAAAAGCACTCTAGCATTCTCTTCCTAGAAGAACCAACCCGATGTTTCCATGGGAAGCCAAAGGGAGACACATACTGTATATAATATAATCCATCTTGAATTACGTTTGCTCGTTTTAGTCTTTTTACTGATGTTTTTAATTTTATTGCTATTTTGGATTATAAACCACCCAGAGTAAATTCTTCTAGATAGCTGGTATAAAAGCCAAAAGAATGAATGAATGAATGAATGAATGAATGAATGAATGAATGAATGAATGAATGAATGAATGAATAAGTAAATAAATAGATAAATAAATAAATAACACATAGCTGTGTGTTCCCCAGCTAAATATTAATTTAAATTAGTCTTAAGTTAAATTTTCACAAGACTTGTATTTTAAAAGACAGTTTTAAAAGTCTTTCTGAGAGGACAGAGAGAAACCCCTTGTGTGAGTCTCCATGTTGGTCCCACCTGACCAGTGGATGAGGGAAACTTCCCACTGCCAATCACACACTTCCCACCATCTGCCCTCTAACAGGCAATACTATTCTTCCCATTATCCTAATTAGAAATGGGCAGGAGCTTAACAACAAACCAGGAAGTTCATTAGAAATCACAAATTTGTTGATTTGGGTCGCTTGAGGTTCATCCAAACTGGAGAACTCAAACTGACCCGAACCACAAACATTTTGAGTGCTTTTCTGAACTTCCTGGTTTGTTACTGCTCCCCACAGCCTGCCCTCTGCCTCCTTCCTGCTGCCATCCCCTCCCTCTCTTGTCTTGCCACTGCCACCATTGCTGCCTTCTGGGAATTTGGCCTGCCATCTCTGCGCATGCACCTGTCTATCAGCTGAGAGGTTGACATATGTGCAGAGCCAGCCAGCCAGGAGCCTCGGCACATGCATCCATCTCTCAGCTGTTGTTTTTTTTAAAGCATCCCAGCTGGATCCTGGCTGCCTGCCTCTGCACATGCATCCACCTCTCAGCTGATAGGCAGGTGCACATGCAGAGACATCGAGCCCGGATTCCAGAAAGGAATTGTCTTTAAAGACAATGAACCAAGACGAACCACCATTTTGCTGGTTTGTGCCCATTTCTAATCCTAATTCTCAGATATTTTCTTTACCTCTCCTTTCTAGCGCTGGATGTCAGTAACCACCACCTCTTGAGTACAATGTACAAGGAGGACTAATTGTCTATATTTTAAAACAACTTTGGCAGTGTATTCGCGAAGGCTTTCATGGCCGGGATCTAATGGTTGTTGTGGGTTTTCCGGGCTCTTTGGCCGTGTTCTGAAGGTTGTTCTTCCTAACGTTTCGCCAGTCTCTGTGGCTGGCATCTTCAGAGGACAGCATATTTAATCTTTTTGGAATTAGATATGGAAAAATGTACCATTTCCAACTTTATATACAGATGTTAAAGAAATAAGATAGGCCAAATTCCTGTTGTGTAATTACACCAGTGGAAGGCAAATGGTGTAACATGCAGGGACAAATTCCTGCCAACTAATGAATCCCTGCTTGGATTCTGCTGACACAGTGTGTTATGGCCAGGATTTGGGCCATAAATAGTACTTCATTAATTCAAGTTCCATTGAATAGAATTTATCTGAGGGTGAATGACAAATGTTGGCTGAAAGATTCTCCTCAAACTGTTATTTGATATATTTCTAAACATGTCCCAAAATGGAAAACTTCAGTTACAGTTTTGAATGGAACTGGAGAAAACAAAAGGTCACATTTTGCTTTAGCTCCTTAAGTGGCGCTGTTAAATCGTGTCACAAGGGTAGTTTTAAGCAAACATATGAAATGTTAATTTATTTGCTGTCAGCAGCACTAATAGCTTTCAGTCATAAACAGGAGACACATCAACCCACCTAGTTTCTCTCTTCAAAGGAAGATTTCTTGGTATCCTGCAAAAACAGTGAAACAATGTTTTTGGATGTAATTCCACTGAAAATGTTGTACATTTATTTATCGTTTTGCTCACTATGCGCCTATCCAAGAGCAAGATTTCTATCATATTGGCTCTCATAATACTTGATAGAATACCACAGCATGGAGTAATAAAATTAGTAGCAGAAAACTTCTTCTTTATTATTATTATTACTCATATGGTGGCAGTGCTTGCTACAACTACTAGAAAACTATGATTGCATTTTTTTTAACCTGGTGATGTTCTTGCTTGATTTTATTTGCTCATGTGGAATTGTTATGTTGGGTTTTTATGCATTAGCAAAATTGTACTTTTGTATTTATGTTCAAAAGCCTGGATTTATTATTACATAGATTTGTGCTCATGCAAAGGCCCCTGGCACTACACATAATTCTGCATATTCTCCAATTACGTAAATGTTCAATCACCCGTGTAATTTTACATGCTATTTTCTTTGCCACCTTTGTTGACCAGATTAGGTGAACCGCTTCTCATGGAACAACTCATTGGTCGCTTCCGTGCCAACATTGTCATCAGTACGAATGAGCCATTTGAAGAAGACCTGTGGGAGGAGATTGCTGTTGGTACTCTCACTTTCAAGGTATAAAACAGTCACAAATATTCTTTAGTGCAATTAAGCATGTGGAGAAATAGAAAAGTGCAATTCTTTGCAAAGCAAAGATCAAAACAAGAAACTGATAGCTTGATCCTGGTAAGACCTCTTGCTCCAAGGGTCTAAGAAGAACCTCTACATGTTTACAGACTTGTCACCTGAGTGGTGGCACAGCAGTTCCATGCTAAGGCATTGTTCTTCATTTAACACTAACATGTCGGTGTAACTTGGAGGTAATTGCTCTGTTCATCCCACCAAGCCTTCCTTAGTAAAGGGCTGTTTTCAGAAGATCTCCTGTTTATTTCAATGAGAACAGTATCAATGACTTAACAATGCATTTTTCCAACTACTTCATTTTAAATGTTGCCTTTTCACCAATATTTTCTGCTGCAGCTTTTCAAGGGCTACATTTCTCTTCTTAATTTTTTTTC